GAGCACAAGTGGAGAGAAAAGCAGAGGGAGAGGGAGAAGCGGGCTCCCTGCTGAGCAGAGAGCCCAACATGGGGCTCGATCCCAGGACCCTGGGATCATGACCTGAGCCGAAGGCAGACGCTTAACCGACTGAGCCACCTAGGTGCCCCTCTCATTTATTTTTTTATAACAATTATTCAAAATAGAGTTTATTTTCTACACATTAGAACTATTTTTGTTTCAAGTGATGGGTATCAAACCCAAATTATGTATGCAGAAAGGAGACTCTATTGGAAAGATAGTGGGCTGTCTAATGGAAGAGCCAGGCTATAGGAAAAGCGAGAACCTAGGAACCATTAGAACCATGAGAAGTCCTTGTCTTCCTCCTCCCCATGGCTTAGAGTCATTCTTTCTTTCACTGTGCACTGGCTTTTTCCATAAGTGGGAAACAGCCACTAGCAACTCCTGAGGTTTATGTCTTACATAAAGTTTCAGTCACTAGAAGGAAATTGACCTGACTCTCAGTCCTAATCCAAAATTCCTGGCAAGTGTCTCCTTGGTCTGGCTTGAATTAGATGTCCCCTTCTAGACTAATCTAGAGGGGTGGGCACTTGTATGGCTTGCAAGAGCATATGGATGGAGTAGAGGAGTGGTTACAAAAAAAGGGTGCTAGGTGACAGTATCATTAGTGTTCACAACAGTTCTCATTTGACAGATGAGGGAAGTGGAACTTCAGATGTTAAATAACTTGCCCAGAGTCACTCAGTTGGTAAATAGTAGAGCCATAAGCTACAAAGTTAAACACACTATAAAAAAGAAAAATTGAAAATAAAATCAAGGAAAACCAGTTAAGAAAAAACAAAAAGTAGAAAAAAAGATATCTGGAAGAGGTTATTATGGCAAGTGACCTGAATTTCCTTCTGGAAAGAAAACATGATCAGTCATACACTTTGCCCCACGTGATTAAGGAACATCTCAAGTGTGTTTCAAGAGGCATTTTTGTGTTAGCACTGAGCTAAGAGAGGAAATTATTTCATGCAATGTAATGAATGATACTTTCAGCCAAGATTTTGCAAAGAATATGAAAATGTTCAAGTAGATAATTTCTTACAATAATTATAGCTAACATTTATTAATGCTCAGGGACTCTGCCTAGAATTTTAAACGAATGACCTCCTTGGACCCTCATCATAGCCTAGGAGACAAGTACTGTCATAATTCAGAGACTAGCTTAGAGAGGTTAAATAACAAACCCAAGGAGCTATGTAGCTCCTACATGGCAGAGCTTGGGATCAGCACCAAGGCCATCTGATGCTGAAGCCTGCACGCTTGTGTACCTTGCTGGATTGTCTTCTTCAGGTCATTGTTCTACTAGAATCAAGATGATGACATTAACTCTTAACCTAATAATTATTAATTTTTGTAAGGAAAGAAGATAATTTGGCCCGAGGCCGTTGCTTTCTGAAGACAAATAAATTGAACTGCTCAAAAGTTTGATTTTAGTTTTAAAGGTTTTGGGCTCCTGATTTATGATTTACTATGGTCAGAAGACCATGTTTGTAGTAAATATAAACACCATGACAAAAATGGGATCCTGCACATGATCCTGTTTATGTAATTTAGAAATATCAATTGAAAAGCTATTCTTACTCTACTTCTGGAAGTAATGCTAGTACACAGGCTTTCATTCATTTACCCAATAACCATTTATTGAGTACCTGCTCACTGTCCTAGGCACTGGGGATTCAGAAGCAAATGAATTCTTGTAAAGCTTATAGTTTATTTAAAGGACAATATAGAAAAGAGTAAAACTAGAAAATACCACATAACAATAAATACTTTGATGAAAATAGAATATGGTGATGTGGGGGGGCGCCTGGGTGGCTCAATCAGTTAAGTGTCTGCCTTTGGCTTGGGTCATGATCCCGGGGTCCTGGGATTGAGCCCTGCGTTGGGCTCCCTGCTCCACAGGGAGTCTGCTTCTCCCTCTCCCTCTGCCCCTCCCCCTGCTCAGGCTCGCGCTCTCTCTCTCTTTCTCTCTCTCTCAAATAAATAAATGGAATCTTTAAAAAAAAATGGTGATGTGGGAGTGACATGTGAGGGCTTCTTTCACCAAGAAAGATCCCTACAGAGATCAGCAGAGAATTGGATAATGAGAAAGAATAACCAATCACTGCAAATATCTGAGAAAAGAATGTTCGAAAATCTTCGAGAATAATCAAATGGGTTATATACAAGGGAACTAGAAGCTAAATGGCTTTGGACTTCCTGACATCAATGCTGGGGACTAATGGCACAATTCTGTTAATATTCTGAATAGAAATGACTGTGGAGGGCACCTGGGTGGCTCAGTCAGTTAAGCGTTCGACTCTTGATTTCGGCTCAGGTCATGATCTCAGGGTCCTGAGATTGAGCCCCGTGTTAGGCTCTATGCTCAACGTGGAGTCCGCTTGAGATTCTCCCTTTCCCTCTGCCCCTTCCCCACCCTGCTTGTGCTCTCTGTCCCTCTAAATAAATGAATAAATAAATAAAATCTTAAAAAAAGAGAAATGACTGTGGAATTGTAAACAGTGGTAAACTATCAATCTAGTGAGAGGGTGTAATGAAGCTAGGATTCTGGAAATATACTTCTAGGAATGAGAAGTCCAACTGAAGGCAGAGAAGGTGTGTTCCAGGATGACAGCCATGCACCAGGCCTTGAAATGAGCCGTACAAATAGTCCTGACACTAATTTCTTATCAGGACTATTTTCTGGCTCTTTTGGGTGAAGGCATAGTCTTAAATGAAGAGAGACTTAAACTGAGTAATGTACTGTTATTTTCAGTTTTCTCTTTATATCACATTAAAAAAATTGAAAGAGGTAGAATTTAAGAAATACCATAAAGGTTTAGATATTGCTTTAAGAGGCAGTAGGTAGTGTAATATAAGTGATAGTGATTTTAATAATAAAATTAAAATACTTTCTAATAAATATTTTCTAATAAAATGACTTAACCTAGATGCCCCCATTATGAGAATTGAACAGGATATGGAAAATTCATGGTTCATTTCTAAGTCCAAGTATGCCTTAAGAATTTTATTGACGATTCTTGTTGCTATTGCTTCAACACAGTCAAGTTTTTCCAAACTGAAAATAATAAGAAACTATCAAAGAGCAAGTTAAGAAAAGTAGTCTAATTTGACATTCTATCAATAGAATGCAAATTATATGACAATCTAGACGATAACAGCATGATTCTTGATTTTGCTGGAATTTAGGAAGAACAAAAGAATTGTTATAGAATAATGAAAATCCACGACTTAGGGATGTCTTTATTGATATTCATCCAAACAATTCTGGTCCATCACAGGATACTCAGATATGCAACCATATTTAAATTTAGTTGCCTTGGTATTTTGTGTGTGTTCAGTCATATAAAAACCATAGCTTTACGCATTTTAAAAAAATGTATTGCCATGTGAGTGTATTTATGGCCGTAAGAGGATAGAAGATATTTTATTTAACTGTTCTTTAGTTTGATTCTATCTTTTAAGTATTTAGATGAATTGGTGAGACTTCCTTAGTAGCCTTGCTCCAGACCCAGTAGATGTTAGGCATCACAATCCATGGGACTCGCAGGAGTGTGTGTGCGTGTGCGTGTGCACGTGTGTGCGTGTGTGCGTGGGCACGCGTGCACACGGGCACACAGGTGCTTGTATTCAGGAGCATGCATATTTCCAGGACAAGCTGGGAGTAACGGGGCAATAGTAAGAAGTCAGTTATGAGGGAAGAAGGGGAAGCAGGTTACTTAGTTAATGCCATGAGGTAATGTTTCACAGCTCACCCACCCTGTGACACTTGTTGCTTTGTTTTTTCTCTCTCTGACGACCACATAACCCTGTGGAGAAGTCATTGCAGAAACTAATGATGTATTGTATGGTGACTAACATAACATAATAAAATTAAAAAAATAAAAAATAAAAAATAAATAAAAATAAATAAATAAAAAAATAAATGTGGGTGATGGTTCCAAAAAAAAAAAAAAAGAGAAGTCATTGCAATACCTGTGCAACCAGATGGGTCTTTCCTGTGTGAATCTACAGCTTCAGAAGGACTGTATTTTTTTTTTTTTTAGTTTTCTTTTTTTTTTATTATGTTATGTTAATCACCATACATTACATCATTATAGAAGGACTGTATTTTTATTAGGTGTTGATTCCTTAGGCATGTTAGGTACTTGGGAG